TAGGTAATAAGAAAGCTACTAAATTTGTGGCAATCTGTTATCCAGTAATAGAAAACTAACAGAGAAGCTTTACTCCCAGGAAATGTTGTAAACAGTTCAGGATTACCACTCAGTGTTAAACCTTCTTTAAATTCATAATTATAGATGAAAGCATAACTGAAAAAAATAAATAATACAGAATCATCCAACATTATATGAAAGAGGATGGGGATGTAGCTCAGTGGTAGAGTACTTGCCTAGCACATTTGAGACCACAAGCTCAATCTGAAGAACCTCAAAATAAAAAGAAAGAAATGATATAGGAAGGACCTAAAGAAAATTGATTGCTAAATTTCATTCAAAAACAAATTAAGTTAATATCATAAACAGGCTTAAAAGTTGCTCTACACCATCTTAAAATGGATAGTATCAGTTTTGTTTTTTAAAACTATATTTAATATGAATAAATTTCAATGGTAACACATATAACTTTACAGTGGAGAAGCTTGGCAGAGGCCACCTTGCAGTTTGAAGTCAACATTACCAGCGAGGCAGTGAGGGTAGCATGTCAGTTTGATTGGTTTGGGGAACTAACTCAGGAATTGGTGGAACACATTCTGAGTGTGTCTGAATGGGTCATGCAGGCGTGGTATTGGGGTCTGCCTATTATGTCTGGCCTCCTGCTCTCTGAAAGTTTGCTCTGCTTCCTGACACCACAAACTAAGCTGCTTTGCCTTGTCATACCTCCTGCCATCATATTCTTGACTATGAAGCTGCCAGTAACACACTGAATTCCTTGAAGGCATGAACTATGTAAAAACCTGTCCTCCCGCAAGGTGTGGGAGTTGGGTATTATCTCCTAGCAACAGCAAAACCAACTAATACTACCAATAATGGGACAAACTGAAATCTTGTTTCAACTGAAAGAATATAAGGAGTAGATCACAGTTATTATTTCTACGCTGCTCCTGTGAAAGATGAACGTAAACATGAATATAATGAATATAATCATGAGGAAACATCAGACAAAAACAAACTGAAAGATGATGCACAAAATAATTAACCTGAAATCTATGGATTTTAGAAGGTATTTTCTCTCTCTGTCTCTCTCTGACTCTGTCTCTGTCTCTGTCTCTCTGTCTCTGTCTCTGTCTCTCTCTATATATATACATACACACATGTATTACTATAGACAAATTGCATCTTAATATTTGTAAACTGTTATGTTTGTATGCCTTTTAAAGAAAAAATATTTTCCCTTAAAATTTTAGATAGTTTTTCATTTATTGTCACTCCATGAAACTCATAAACTAGAATAATTATTCTTACTAATAGATGGAGGAGATAAATAAGGGAAAATAATCAGGGCATAATTCTCATTAAAAGAGCAAGCTTTATATTCTCTCTCTCTCTCTCTCTCTCCTGAGCCTGCAGCTCTCTTATTTGGCTCTTTACTCATTGAGACAATAGAACCTCTGATTTTCTAGACATTAGTCAAATTTTTAGCTAGTATATTTTTTATACACAAAGCAGTCAGACCTGGATCTGTGCAAATTTTTTGCACAGAGCAGAATTATCACAGTGGTTAAAAAATAAGTTCAGAGTTCTGAGACCAATTTCTGAAACACAGATCAGCTGAGAAAAAAGAACTATGAAGAATTCCTCAAAATTTTATCCTAGGAACTTGAGGAATATAAAAAATTTATGTGGAAATGCCAATTTAAGAATGACAATTCATGTCATTTTACAAAAGAGAGGAAAAGAAAGTGCTCTAAACGGTATAACTGCATGTATATTTAAGTGTATAAGATTGATAACCATATTACTGAGTTTTGTTGGATCTTTGAACAGAACTGTTTGCAGTCTCACTGTTTGAAAGTCCACTTTATATGCTTTAATTTTGTAACTTGAACAACTATTTCTAAGATGACAATATGTAATCTATCAAATAGTGATTTCCTACTGTTTATTTTTTTCTGAAATTCTGTGTAACTTGTACCCCTTTTCTGCTTTTTTTTCCTTTTTCTCCTTAAATTAAAAAAAAAAAAAATGACAATTCAAGAGACAGTGCTGACCCACATGGAATAATTGGCTAGTCTGGACAAAAATTAAAATTACATATACATAAAGGTAAAGCTGTGTTTCACTACAGTATATAATCAGAAAACCTGAGGTTTTAAATCCAGATGGATTCCAGATTTATTATTTACCAGTGTGGTAAATTCTGAGGGGGTCCTTTAACCGTCTCAATATCTTCCCATTCTTATCTATAAACTGACAATAATATCAACTTTGTATAGTGTTATAATAATTAGATATAATGCATGGAAAGTGTCCAATAGAAGGGCTGGTTGTAATCAGCATTTAGGAGAAAAATGATAATTTTCCTTAATATCATGAGGTTTGAGTGAAGTTTCTAAAAGAAACATTACATTTTTTTTAGTATTGCAAATCAAACCCAGGGCCTCATGCATGCTTGCCAAGAGACTACCCCCAAGCTACATCCTCAATCTTTTTTATTCTTTTATTAAATTACCCAGACTGATCCCGAGCTCATGATCCTCCTGCCTAAGTCTCATGAATAGTTTCAATTACAGGTGTGTGTCACATTATAATTTTTAAATGTTAAATTTTTAATTAAAATAAGACACAAAGTCTGGGAATCAATGCTATGCACAGGCTGCCACTGGACTGGAACAGCCAGACTCCAGCCCCTCCCAGTGATTCAGTGCCATATACAGACTGAGGATAGAGAGAACAAGGCCATGCCAGCAAGCAAGCCCACTCTGGGGACCAGCACCATGCATGGGCTGCCACAGGCCTGGATCACACAGATCCCAGCCCTTCCCAGCACTATGGCAAACGAGGCGTACCAAGTCTCCCCCCGCCCCCCGTTAAGTGGCTGGCTTATCCAGAGGAACACAGGCTGTGATGATAGCTATTGAGGTGAAAGGCAATTGGATGCTTATAGTGCTTTGGTGGCAGGAGTATCTATTTCAAAGATAACAAGATATATTATAGCAGCAACTTTGTATTTTTTATTGGTTTGTTTTGAAGTCCTTTATTGCATTCATTGTTTTGTTTTTATTCTATTCTGTTCTGTTTGTTTTTTTACTGTATCTGAAGTTAACTGCAGTTATTTTGGGGATATCAAAAGGCATTATGGTAACTATGGTTGATTTTGTAATGTTTTCAAGTCCTGTATCTCTTATACTGGTTTGCTTTGAATGGTTTTACTCTGTTTTATTCTCTTTTAAAAAAGACATGAATATGGTTTTAAAAATTAAATAACAAGTTTTTAAAAAATTCAGTATTAGGCCATCTGTCTCTATTTCTCAGTTCCATTCCCTAGAGGAAATCAATTTATGCTTTTTTTTTGTAATCTGAGTCAGGGTCTCACACAGTGCAGCTCCATATGGCCAGGATGGACTCAAACTTGTGGTCTTCTAGCTTCAGGCTCCTGAGGTCTGGGATCATGCCGCTCTATGCCCAGCTCATATTTCTGCTTTTTCAGCTACTTCCTCTAATATGGGTCCATCTTCTCAATTTTTGGTTAAATTACTCAAATGTTACTACATATTACAAAATATCACAATATTATGATCATGACTATAGTTTCTGTCCTTTTTCCCTGAAGTAAATCATGACCTTTTTAAAATTTATTTTTTAGTGTTCTATGTAATTATCATTGTTTTCTCTCCATTCCCTCCAAGACTATTTTAATACAATTTTCTGCACAGTCATCATAATGGATAACTAGTCCTGTTTCTTGATTGTTTTTCCCTAGAGATTGTTTTTCCCTGTCTTCTGAGGTTGTCACTTTTGCTCTTTGAGCCTGTTGCCCATCTTAGAGCTTTCAGATGTTGTACGATTAAATGGCATATATTGTAAAATAACATTTGTTTGGCAAAGAAAATTTCCACATTTTGATGATCCCAAGAGCCTCACATTTCAATTATGTTTAGAAATTATGCCTTTTCCCCAACTGTTTCATGATAAAGCAGTTAGGAAAAAACTACACCTAAATAAAATTATGTCTTTTAAATCACATTACCAACTGTTATTTTCCCCCAAAACCTGCAATAATATATCAAAATTTGCTTTACTTTATTGAAATAGTATGGCAATATCTTGTCCTTCTATTTTATGGGACCATCTGGTTATTGCAAATTAAGTTTTAATTTATCTGAATATTTTCCAAACTTCTCATCAAAATATGCTCTTTAACATATGATTTTGTAACATAGTATTCAAAGGAACAGTTTTCAGACACCGTACATGATAATAGTGTTAAAGAAAAAAATTTCTTTTGCTTTCAAAAAAGACAGTTATTTTTTTCTTCTTCACATGTCTAGCCCTTGTCCCAATCCTGAAGACATGAGTGAATGGTGAATTTGGAAAAGAAGAATTTTTGTACCTCAGTTCCTTTATCATTTTTCTTCCCTTCTGGCATTTTCCTCCTTGCCAACAACATTTTTTTTTTTTTTTTATTGTTCTTGACACCAGAAATAGAAGAAGACCCTGTAGACAGTCTTGTCTGGACCAAGCAGGTTAGCCATGAAATTTTGCCATTCAATGACCACCCATTCAACTCTCACACTATGTTACATGTCACTTTTCTTATTCCTTTCCTTATTTCTTAACTAGATTCACTACTTGGGAGGGATAGAAGGGTCTTTGGAACCCATGACGACTTCATCAGTGGCCAATGAGTATGATCTTTTTTATCTGGAGAATTGCTTTTTTATCTAGTACAATGATTTTGCTTGTGCTGTTTAAACTGCATTGTCAATGGAAGACAGGAGCCAGTTGCTAGATCTGGAAAGAAGGTGATTTTGCTAAGGAAGAGCACGAGGAAAGAAAAGATGAGGCTTAACATGGACTAATCAGGCCCACAATCTCCAAATGAGTGGACAGTGAAGCCTTAAATAAATGAGACAAGTGATATGATTTTAGGGCTGCAGGAAGATCAAAATCCTCTAGCAGAATTCGCGATTTTGGGGGCTGAGATGAAAAAAGTCTTTAGGTGGCTCATATTTATTTGTTTTTTAAACAAAGCAGGGATGCTGAGGAAAACATAGGAACTGAGCAGGACCTTGGGTGGGTGGGGGATCTGTTTAAAGACTTCTCCAAGTGGTAAATGTTGGTGATTTAGGAGAACTATCACATCCAGGTTGACATTCATGGCAGAGCTGAGACAGCTGGAGTGAGATGCGTGCAGCTACAGTCTCTAGTTAGTTATTTGGGGTTGAAGTCAGGTGTCCTCAGCTGTGGCCTTATCTTGTCCTTTGAGAAGTCACTGGCATCACAGGCCTCAGCCAGGACCAGGGATGCATAGATGTTCACTTACTACAGATCTGCTGCCCATCTTCAGACAAGGGGTTTAGGCCTGGGACAGACTCACAAGTAAACATAGAAAGCCAATTGTTTAATTTTAAATTCTGCTGAGAACTGCTTTATGGTAATCTACATTAGAGGCCCTTGAAGACAGAGCATGGAAGAACACAATCATCTAATGAACTATCCCAGAGAGAAGAAATACCAACGACACCTGCAATGGAGGAAAAAGAATAATCAGAAGACTACAATATCTGACTAGTCAGGGTAGGAGAAAATTCAAAATTTAAGGGTCATCAAAACAAATTTTAATTCTTCAGAACACTCATAGCATATGGAGAAAAGACTTGATTGTGAAAGTGCAAATTAGGGCACTGTTCCTTAAATCTGAGAAAGATATATATTCCTTTTGTAAGAAAACTGAGAGCTCCTCCTGCCCCAGTGCTGAAGTCAATTATCCGGATGTTACTTAAGTTTGTAAAAGCATAAAAATAGTTCTAACTTTACTGTTTATGACTTAATCATGAAGGGTGAGCAACTTTATAATAACAACTAAAATATCGAGCAAATAGTTACCATATTAAATCAGTTTTCTATAATAGAGATCCCCATCTCAGAAATCAAGCTATTGATCCTAAAATGAAAACAATTAATAAAAACTGCCAGTAGTCAGAATAGTTTGGATTTTACTCTATAAATTCCACTGTATCCTCTAAGAGACTAAGTTTTCCCACTACCTTTCACTGACTGAGCAACTGCAAAATTTTTGTTCAAAATGCCCTAAAGTTATTTGATTCCTCACATGGCCCAGCTTTATTACTCACATATATATTCTGCCCCTTTGGCATTCGTTAATATCATTCACAGGAGCACAGCTTGTTGCTGACTGGCTCAAACTTGGGCAATGTTAAAAGGTGGCATGACTCAAACACCAGATGGTTACACAGGCCATCCCTGATGTGCTATTTGGGGCTTGTTAGAAAAGTAACACTATTACTGAAATGATAATTTCATGCTAAAATTTTTGGTAGCATATTAGCAAACTGATCACATCTATATATTTCAGTTGTACAATGATCAAGGTTCTTCTTCCCCATACCTTTTACTCAGAGAAGAGAACAGTTACGGTCAAGTGATCATGTTCAGAGATCATTTATTAGATCCTGCTCTCTGGAGGTGAATCTTCAGTGTGCCAAGGAAAGAGCATTAGAGCCCAAGCAGGATGCTTTTCCTTCCATCAGCACCACTTTCCCTTTCCATTTCTCTCTGATTCCCTCCTTTATTTGCATATGATTTTCAAATTAGAAAACGACCTGAATTCTTGCAAGATCTACAGAAGTTCAATAAGGGAATTGTATCTTGCTAAAAAAGTACATTTTTGTTCTCAAAATATTTAACCCTACAGTAACTTAACCCCCGCTGCCTATTTTCTTGAATAACAAGAAGTCTAGGGATGAGAGTAATGCATGATGGTACACACCTATAATCCAGCTACTCTGGAGGCTGAGACAGAAGGATAGCAAATTTAAGGCCAGCTTGTGCAATTTAGCAAGATCTTTTTTTTTGTCTTTTTCCTTTTTATCGGTACCAGGGATCAAACTCACGACTGCCTGCTTGCAAGGCAGGCGCTTATGCCGCTGAGCTAAATCTCCAGCCCCAATTTAGCAAGATCTTATCTCAAATTAAAAAAAAAAAAATCTGGACAGTGGCACACTAGTGCTGGGGAGGTTGGGGCAGGAGGATTGCTACAAGTTTGAGGCCAACCTGAAAACCAAAACCAAAACCAAAACCAAAAAACAAGAAGAAGAAGAAGAAGAAGAAGAAGAAGAAGAAGAAGAAGAAGAAGAAGAAGAAGAAGAAGAAGAAGAAGCAGCAGCAGCAGCAGCAGCAGCAGCAGCAGCAGCAGCAGCAGCAGCAGCAGCAGTAGTAGTAGTTGGGAATCTCAAAATAGAACAAGAACTGGGGAGGTAGCTCTGTGGTAGACTACACAAAAAGAAAAAAAAAGGAACTGCATCTTTTGGATCTGGTCTTTTTAGGGTGCTGGCCTTTTATCTTTGTGTTGTTTGTTTAAAAGTTGCAAGATGAACGTCACAGCTTTCAGAAATCATGTCCACGTTCCATCTGGAGCAAAGGAAAGAATGTACTGTTTTTTTTTTTCTTTTTGTTATTTAATTTAATGAAAAAGTCGATGCTTTCACATTCCCACATTTCCACATCTGCCCTGTTCTTTCGCAAGGTGGCATGTGACAGCATTCCTATTTCTTAGTCTTTATAGTGGAGGTGGGCAAGGGAAAATGAGGTTGATAGCAGGGACTGGGTTATGCCAAGATGTGAGTCTACCACAGATGATGCCAGAGAAAGCTGCTGATTCATCCGAGAGGACAAACTTCCAAGCTGTGCTTAAGAATATGTGACAATAACAATAACAGATGCCTGGAGATAACTGTATAAATGCACAACTGGGAGATGGGGCGGGGCTTGGTTTAGGGCAAAGGCATAGAAAACAATATGAAGACTAAAAATATTTCTGAATAGGATCATTAGGCTATTACTTTTTAAAAAGTACAAGTTAAGGGTAAATTAGAAGTTAGCCAAGCCAAAAAGAAAATACTCTGAGAAGAAATTTTTAAGGAATTCTAAAATAACAAAACGACAATAAAATATATTTGTATATACTTTTAGAGAATAGTATAAACACTCAAATTAGTTAAAGTTAAGTGAATAGAAATAGATGCAGATATTTAAATTCAAGAATGGTTGTTTAGCATTTCATTTTATGACTGTTTTATATATATATTTTTAAAGAGACTGATGGACACATTTTTTTTTTTTGGACAGGTTAAGTTAAAGTAGATGTACAAGAGATTAAAGAAATAAACATTTGTAAACTGAATTTAAGGCTCATTTTTAATTAATGTCAGGTGAAATGTGCTGTTAAATGTCTCTTGCGGGATGGGAACTATCCAACTTTTCTAATTTGGATGTCAGGTATTATGTTTCAGCAAGGAGAAAGGTAACTAAGACATTTATTTTATATAACTCATGTTACAGTGAGAATAAAATACATAGCTCATCATTCTGAGAGTACGTTATTTTTGCGAGAAGTGCTATTTCAGCTTATTCATTGAGCATCTTTCCCTGTGCCACACGAGTCTTGCAACAGGTGCTAGGAAGGCAATGGTGACAATGAAAGCCTGGCCCTGTGGGCTAAAAGGAGACAAAAGATAACTAACTCCGATAGAGCACTGACTATGATAAAGCACAGTAAACGGATGGGGAAATACCTAATGGTAACGTGGCACACATTTCTGGAGTGTTGGTACAGATACTGGTGACTGGGAGGTTAGGAAACATTCCTTGGATGAAGGTGAGGTGGAAAGGTTAAGTAGGATTCACCCAGGGAAATGTGCCCAAAGGGCTGGATTTAGTGGTGCATGCCTATTATGCCAGCACTAGACTGCATGATGAAGGATTGTGTGTTCAAGGCTAGCCTGTGTTACACAGAAAAGCATCACAGAAAAGATAAAAAAAAAAAAAAAAAAAAAAGAAAGAAAAAGAAAGAAAACCTGTTGTGTGACAGGAGTGGTGGAAGCAGACAAGCTTCCTCTTCTCTTAGGTGGCAATAAATGTGAGGATAAAGAAACTAGGGGGAGATAGGGCCGTTCCAAGAAACAAAACTGAGTTTGGAGTCAGAAACTGGGTTCTAGTCCTAGTTCTACCACTTGTAGGACAATGGGCAAGCAACCCCAGGCACAAAATCTCTCTTGGTAAAAATGTATTTTCTGTTACTATTCCTCTAGATTGTGTGCAGCAACCACGGCCAGCTCTTGTTCTGATGGATCATGAGGCCTGGTAGTCTGGGGGTTTGCAGCCAGGATTACAGTTCAAAACCACTGTTTAGGATTAAAGGGCAGAGAAATGATCAACACCCTAAAAGTAAAAATTACAGTGTCGCCAGCAGAAAAAAGGGAGGACAGAGTTAAAGCCCTGAGATACCACTTACTATGTCCATTAAACATGTACTTATGACTAATGTTGCAAAAAAGTTTGAAGTATGATACTTTAGGTTCAAAACCTATCTCTTATTTTCCTGATAATTAATTCTTCTCTTTTCAGTTTGAATTATGCCAATATAGGGCAAAGAAACTCCCAACCTGCTAGATGTTCAGTATGAATTTATATTCTCTCAAATTGAAGTATGAATTCTAGGAACAAAGGAGGTTAAGAGCAGAATATATTTATTAGGGAAAGAAAGCATCTCTCTAAGAGAGAGACACAAGAGGTCCTGTGTGGGTTGCTAAAGACTCTGCCTTTTAAAGGGATTTTTATAGAGTGTGAGGTAAGGCAGGTCCAAGGTGGCAGAAAATGGGAAATCACAAGGTGGGTCTGAGGTGGAAAAACAGTATGGTCAATCAATAAGACCATGAACATAATTACTCAGGCAATATTGTTTAAATGGAGGTCAAATATGAAAGCAAGTCACATAGCAAGCTGACATGAAACAGGTCAGTGGCTCTTCCTGGCTTTCCCAAAGTGATCCATACCTATTTAGAATATCAATCACTATTGTTTAACCTTAGAGTAAATATGTGGGTGCATTTATTTCATCTTTTGTCTTAAGCTCTCCCATGTATCCCATCTTCTGCACTGGCTCCTTTCAGGGCCTCACCCAGTTTGACAGCTTATACTGTTTCTACCTAATTTAGCTGTCTATAATAATGTCATTTAAGTTTCTTCTGCAGTCATTCCAAGTAGAAAGGCTATAAAAATGTTTATACTGAATGTACTTGAAAGTGTCATTTGACCCATAGGCAGTAATTCATGGTAGTTGAGAATTGGGTGAATGGTTGTTGGCCAATTCCTTGAATCATAAAACCTGCTAATTAGAGCTGGAAAGTGTTTTTTGGTTAGGGCTCACGCCTATTAATGTTTTGATAAATTCTAACCTTGATCCGATTGTTTGGATTCAGTAAGAGAGGGAAACCAATGCCCCTGTTCTTACTTGATACACATATGTTCATTGGAAACAAGTAAAATTTTTCTGATATTTAAATCCTTCTTTTACTAAGTATCTTATCACTCAAAAGAGTCAAATGCAGCTTTTATATTTATCAATAAAATATACAGATCTCAAAAACCATTTCCTCAGAATTGTTTTTTTAAAGTTTCATTCTCTTAATTGTTCTGCTTTTCTTAATAAAAATCTATATTAACATTTACCTTTCTTAAAACCTGACATTTTCTGCAATAATTTAATCTCAGCTTTATATAGTAAATAAAGGGAAAATACTGGAAAGAATGGATAGTTTTCTAGGGGTGACAGGTGGTGTTTTACCACCTGCTACCTGTCTTTACACTTGGGAGACAGCAATTCAAGGTGATTAAATCTCTATTGTTCCTTAAATGGACCAGATTTCATACTTAATCCTGTCTTGTTTTTGTCATTCACTTTTTCCATAACATAACGTAAAAAGAACTTTTCCACGAGAGACAAAATTAAAAATTGTACAACTTTACAATGTTGTTATGCATCTTTGAGGTGTGATATAAAATGCATTTACCTGAAATTATAGAACGTTATTTTCCAATATTTTAAGCAAAATAAAGGAGTCTGTCCTGAGGTACTTAGCATATATTCTCAATACTTCTAAGGGCCTCAATCCAGTCCCAAAGGGAATTTATTGTTTTCTTAATTGCAATGTTTTCTTCTTTTATGAAAGACTAAAAGCCTCTTTTCCCTTGTACTCTGTTTTATGCTATTGTAGTAGAAAAAGCCAAGTGTGAGCAGAAGGCTTTTGAAATGCTTGAGAGTGTTCTTAAAAAAGGGAATATTAAACTACATCCACTAAGATTTAACGAATGGAATTTGATAGGAGTCAAAATAATGACCTTGAATTCATGTGATTAAGTCCTTGAAATATGCTTTTATATCCCTTATATATTTTTTTCTGTAACCTTATTAAATACAACAAAGAAAGGCAAATTTTTCCAAAAGCATGGTCTTTTCCTCCTCTATTGTCTGAAATGCTGTTTTTACCGAAATTTTGCTTGTGCTCTTCCTATAGTTTTAATTAAGTGTGGAAATTAGGGTAGCTGCCATATAGCACCAACCAAACTTTGCTATCATTTTTTTGTGTGTGTATGTGTGAGTTTCATTCCTTCTCTTGGTATTTCTTAAAAGTCAGTTCTGAATCCTTTTTCATTTCTTTTCATATAACCATGCAATTTCTTATTTACTCAAAGGGTCTCCTGCAGTTGTGGCTTTCAAGAATGGCTCCTAAATGCAAGTTTGCTGTTTTGGCCTCTCTCCTGAGAACTCAACTTGAGCATTCAAGTCTTTGCCGCCCATACTTCTAAACAGATTTCCTGTTGGAAATTATAACTTAGTATCTCTCCAATCAAAGACATTAAAACAAGTCGATAGTGGAGCTCGAATGCAGACGACTTTGGGTAGGAGTTAATGTCTGCACATTGAGGCAAATCACATACATTTTAAATTTTTGATTCTTCTATTAACTATGTGTTAAATTTAGCCTTCAGCTCTTAGGTCCGTTGTATACAGGAACCCTAGAGGAACAGATAACACTGGGAAAAGGAAGGATAAGGACCTGACTGAGCTTTATTAAATCAAAGGGGAAATGCACTAAAAGCAGTTTCTGCTCTCAGGGCTAGACTCTAAAATTAGGGAAATTACAAAGACAAAAGAGGGAAAAGCTACCTAGACCTGGGACAGCAACGGGGTAACACAAATATCTGGAAAACCAGCTCCCCTCACCCACCTGACAATTCGAGGGTAATAAGAGACAGGTATCTAAGAACTCGTTTAATATTTAACACACACACACACACACACGCACATATGCACACGTTCTCACCTTAACATCAGTATAATTTTCCACACATGTACATATGTTCCCTTACTTAATCATTAAAGAAGCTGCCTTCCTAATATGCCCTCTCCCATCACTTACTCATTACAAAGGAACAGAAAAAAACCAAAAGGCCAGGACTAGATTAAGATCAGATAGTCAGGGGCTGGGGATTTAGCTCAGTGGCATAAGCGCCTGCTTTGCAAGCTGGCAGTCATGAGTTCGATCCCTGGTACCGATAAAAAGGAAAAAGACAAAAAAAAAAAAAAAAAAGATCAGACAGTCAAAACAACAGATTAGATATTGACAAATGCCCACTTGGAGGACAGGAAAGACACTAGTTCCCAATAAAAGGAGCCAGAGGTAAGAGCTCTGTGGGCTTTTAGCTCTGAAGCCCCTACCTCCTTTTTTTTCCTCCCTTTTTTTGATACCCACTCACGCTTGCCAGGTAGGTGTTGTGCAGTTGAGTTATACCCCGGGCCCCTACTGCATTATGGTGGCTGCCTATCCTTTTTCTTTTCCATCTTTTCTCTCTAAATAAGTCGTCTTTTGAAACACTGAACTTTGCCTTTTTAAAAGTTCTTTACTAGCTCCAGGTTTACGATCACTGGAATCTGTGTTTTCAGCAGAGCAGCAACATGGTGTGACATGGCATGGCAAACTGGCGCATTTCATCAACAATCTGATAAAATGCATTTATCCTCTTTCAATCTTTCAAATATTTCATATCATCCTTAATTTCAGTTGTTTTTTGAGGCAGGGTTTCTGGGTACTTTGGGCTGGCCCTGAATTCACTGTGTATTCCAGGCTGGCTTCCAACTCACAGCAATCCTCCTGCTTCAGCCTCCCAAATGCTACAATTACACGGGTGCACCACCACACCCGGATCCTTGCCATTATTTAAAAAATTACTTCTTAATAATAAGTGGGCAGATCCAGATAATCCCACAGATTCTTACGGGTTGTGATAGTGATTTAACTATCTGGCCGTATCCCACGAATTCACTACTTCTAAGGAGAATCTAGAAGTAAACCTCTATGACTGTACAGAATATTTCAGTATCAGAGCGTTACAAAATCTTAGAATATATCAAGGACTGAAGTCAGCCTTTGAAGGACACTGAATTTCCTGTAATGGAACATTTTGTTTCATTCCTTTCAATCTGGGGCTCTTGAGAAAACTTGGAGAAGCAGGAAAGGGAGTCATCTTTCACCCCATTAAGTGAACAGATGAGTTTGTAAACGCAAAATGAGCTCTACTTTGCTTGTTGTTAATTAATTGGGCAACAAAAGCAGGTCAAATGAGACACCGGAGGATAACCCCATATGAGACAAAATAACTGCACTCCCTCTGACCTTTGGCCCCTGCGGTCTCCGGCCGAGCTGCTTCCGGGCTCTGGGCGCTCGGTGGCGCCCGGAGGCCGGAAGGGCGCGGCAGAAGGCTGAACGGGTGGGACGGGGGCGTGCCCTCGGGAGGCGGAGCCAACATGGCCGCCACGAGCCCTTGGAGGACCTAAGAGGCGGTGGCTGGGGCCACGCCCCGGGCGGGAGGGCCGCTCTGTGCGCGTCCGCTCTATGATGCTTGCGCGCGTCCCCCGCGCGCCGCGCTGCGGGCGGGGCGGGTCTCCGGGATTCCAAGGGCTCGGTTACGGAAGAAGCGCAGCGCCGGCTGGGGAGGGGGCTGGATGCGCGCGCACCCGGGGGGAGGCCGCTGCTGCCCGGAGCAGGAGGAGGGGGAGAGCGCGGCGGGCGGCAGCGGCGCGCTCGGCGACTCCGCCATAGAGCAGGGGGGCCAGGGCAGCGCGCTCGCCCCGTCCCCGGTGAGCGGCGTGCGCAGGGAAGGCGCTCGGGGCGGCGGCCGTGGCCGGGGGCGGTGGAAGCAGGCGGGCCGGGGCGGCGGCGTCTGTGGCCGTGGCCGTGGCCGGGGCCGTGGCCGGGGACGGGGCCGGGGACGGGGCCGGGGCCGCGGCCGTCCCCCGAGTGGCGGCGGCCTTGGCGGCGACGGCGGCGGTAGCGGCGTCGGCAGCGGTGGCGGCGGCGCCCCCCGGCGGGAGCCGGTCCCTTTCCCGTCGGGGAGCGCGGGGCCGGGGCCCAGGGGACCCCGGGCCACGGAGAGCGGGAAGAGGATGGACTGCCCGGCCCTCCCCCCCGGATGGAAGAAGGAGGAAGTGATCCGAAAATCTGGGCTCAGTGCCGGCAAGAGCGATGTCTACTATTTCAGGTATTGGGGTGGGGGCGCGGCGGTGGGGTCAGGTGGGGTTCAGGGGTCAAGAGCTGACCTGCATAGGGAATTCCAAAATCAGAGCCGGGGCCCCGAGGGAATGTGGCAAGGGTAGGCTCGTCTGGGTAGTGGGATGTGCCTGCAACCCTAAGGTGAAAGTTGACCCCAGTGTTAGGAGAAGCTTTGAGTCTGAAACGTAAGAGCATCTTAGTCAAGGGCGTCGGAGAAAATGGTTTGCGAAGGAAAGATTGTTCATGCACGAGTGATTCGTCCACTGAAGGGTTAAAATAGGTGTAATTCATTGACACTATAAAACTAGTCATCGTTGGCTCCTGTCCCTACCTGTCCCAGATTCATCATCAGCAAGGAGAGTTTAATCATGGATATGTGGAAGAATCAGCTATCTACAGGAACAAGGTTTCAATTACTGTGTGTGATCCTGGAAAGTTTCATATGAAGTAGGCATTTGGAATGCCCAAAGTTTTTTGGAACTCCTTGGTGTTGCAGAACATACTGTCTTTTGACAACGGAAACATTGTGCTAAGTTAGACTTCTAGACCACCACTGGCCCCACGGGGAGCATGTGGCAATGCCTGGAGATTTTTTTGGTTCTCACACCTGGGAGGTGGCATCTAGTGGTTAGAGGTCACAGATGGTCCTGTTTTGTGACACAGGACACACTGGCAATAAAGAATCATCTGGTGTTAAACGTCACCAGGGCTAGGACTGATAAACCTGGTTTTAAATGCCTTAAGGTTTTTCACTGTATATAATATTGCAATTCTGTGATCAAACTGTGTTTTTAGTTTGTATAAGACACTAATCTCAGAAAACTGGCTATTGATCTCAGTGGAATTACAAACAAATTTACTGAATTCTTTATAAACCATTCCATTTATAGAAAAGAGTATAAAGATGTTATAGTCAGTGGTTTGCAGGGCTTTGTAGAGGGTTGAAGCATTTTTTAGGGAATGTATTTGAGTGTTGAAGGAGCAGTTGCCAGCCATTGGAGTAATTTAAGAAGAATTTCTTCTGTCATTCCACTTGTAAAATATTTGTATGTGTAAATATACAAGTATTTAATATGTGATTACTGCTGATGTAGCATGCAAACATGGAATCTCTCTTGCCTGGGGCTGGGAGCCCTGTTGGGTACAAAGCCAACTGGGCTGTGGGCATCTTTGGGCAAGCACACTACTCCTGAACTATGTTCACAGCCTCTGAACATGTGTTTAATGGTCACTCAAATATGTGGATGAATAGTTTTAGTAAATTCAAGTCTCTAATGATAAAACGGAAAACTTTTTTATTTAAAATAAAGTTTTGTATTTTTGTTTCAGTATTAAATGTAATGCTATGAAAGTTATTCTGGTTAAAAAACAGTTACTTTTCCTAAGATCATTTGTTGCACTTAGTGGTAATCACAATTGTTTATTTTGTGTAGTCTTTCATTTATAGCGCATTTTGTTTTCTTTGTAAGTAGGCACAGCCTTCCATGAACTACATGCTAATGGCTTGTAGGCAATTACAGTTGACAAGAATATTGTATGTCTGGGATTGAACTCCTTGAGGAATGGTCTATTCTCAGTTGACCATTTTAGACTTTGAATTTCATTCCCTGTCCAATTCTCCTGAGATATGGTTTTTTTGGTTTTGGGATGACATACTTTTTCAGATTAACTTTTGGTTATTACTAAGCTTTTTTTCTCTTGCCCTTATGGCAGCTAGAAAGCTATTTTAAAAAGTCAAGTCAGGTGGTACATGCCTGTAGTCCTGGCTTCTATGAAGACTGAGGCCAAAGATTACTTGTGCCTAGTTCGAAGCTAGTCTGGGCTGAGACCCTGTGCCTAAAAAAACCAAAACTAGAATTTTGGTTTAGGGCTATAACTCAGTGTAGACCGTTTGCCTAACATACTTGAGATATTAAGAAGTTTGTGTCCCAGTACCACACACACACACAAAAAGTGCTAAAAAAAAGATGGCTATAGTGAGCGTTTCAATTTGTGATCACACCTTCTTGCGTGTTGTAAATCAAAAATGTTTAATTCTTCATATGGACTCGTTATATATTTTATGGTTGTAAAGTCTGAACAATATAAAAAATTTTCTAAACAAATTGATTGTAAGACATTTCACAAACTAGTGTAGTGATAATTACTTGTTGGATGTCATTTTATGAGATATAACAGCATAGTTTGACTTCTACTTATTCATGCAAAATGGAAAAACACTGAGCAGATTTGTGCTGCTTGTGTTTAATGCACAGCTAAAAAAAAGTGCTATCTAGTTTATTGACCACCTCTAGAGTGTGAGTTACTATGCAGGATTGTTAACATCCATTTTTTTGGTTTTTTTTTTCTAAGATGACGTTCTGAAAGAGTAGGATGTATGTAGCGTGATATTAGACTTGCAATATAGTAGTTTCTTTGACTTGTGACTAGCTTTCTGTTTTGAATGATGTTGGTACCTACTTATAGTAGAGGACAAATTATTTTTCAACCTACAGTATTAACTGCTTTACATATCAGTGTCCCGTACACACATTGCTTTAAAAAAAAAAAAAGTAGCTCACAAAGGCCTTGCCATATTTGTTAGTAGGTGGGTGAAGACTGAACTCCCCAGTTGGTTTTGTGAACACCTGCACCCAGTTGTTCACACAGATTCTAAAAGTGTTAACCCCCAAATTACCCTGCCCCTGGGGAGATTAATTTAATCTGTGCCTGTTAATGTAGGGTGTGGTGACACTTATTAATTGCACTGAAATTAAGCTCATCAAAAAAGCTTCAGATTTTGGTAGAATATTTTTGTTTGCTTTCTGAAACTGCCAAGTTCTAATAGGAAGATGTACTGCTGGTGGCCAGTGAAGCAATATAATTATGCCTTCTGTCAGGATTACTGATAATGTTGTGGTAGTTCATATATTGTCATTCAAATTGGTTTTTTTTTTTTTTTAAACAGGTGTGGTTTGATAAAGTTGAATCCATGGTATTGTTTGCTGATTGATTTTTTTTTTTTTTTTTGGTACTGGGGATTGAATTCATGTCCTTGCTTGCAAGCCAGGCACTTAGCCACTGAGCTAAATCCCCAGCTGCTGATCGATATTTTTGAAATATTTTCCTCTTCATGGAATCCTTTAGGAGTTCTTATTTGCCTCCCCCTCCCCCCAATTAAGTAAAACTTGTAGAATTCTAAGCTCTTGATCATAACGAGTTAAAGACCTGGGAGTCGTGGTAAAACTATTACAGATGCTGCCATAAAGTATCTGATTGGGTACTGGAACCATAATGAACAGTTTTAACTTGTCAAAATTATGATGCATTTACACTAGATCACTTCTCTGAAAAAAAGGTACAGTAGAACAGAATTAAAGTAATTACAGAGACTAGGCATCTGAAGAAAAACTAAAATGATTTCACTTTTTGATCTTGAAAGAAGAGGATTCAGTTTTAATTGAGGTCTATAAAATCATGAGTGATACTAATTAAAGTAGGCACCTCTAAGGAAGACAGCGTAAGGATTAGGAGGTATTCCAAATCTGCACTAAACAGTGGGTGCAGCCTTGAGCGTGTTGTTTAACTTCTCTGCTATGTTTTCATTTGTAAACCAGGAGCGATTGTTACCTGTACCTCCTTGTGTTTGCCATCATTTGAACCCTCCTACTGTTTATTAGAAGAATTCAGTTCCAAGTTCTAGAGCCCTAAAATAAATATGTAGAGTTTTTGAAGACGTATATGTATGTGTGTGTATATATGTATATGTGTGTGTGTGTGAGTAAGAAAAGCAGTTTAATAGCTAATTCCAGTTGTATGGGCTGAATTTATAGATTTATAAATCATGTAAGTGTATGCTATTTGTTACTAAAAGCAGTAGTATGATGTGGATGCATGAATTTTAAATCATTAAGGATGTCAAAGTTTAACCAACCATCTACCCTCTTTTTCCCCCTTTGGTCAGAACTCCACCAAACAAAAATCAACCAACCAACCAAACAACCAACCAAGCAAAAAACCCCAGAGCAACCTTTCCCGAGTAGTATTTGGGGATAACTGGCTGAGTGGACCAGAGGAGGGAATGTTACCTTTGTATAGTTCTTACATGTACACATTAAAATTATCTTAATGTTCAGTAAAAAGTCTTCACACTTACTGTAGATTGAGGATCTCTAATCCAAAAATCTGAAGCTTTTCTGTGTTGACAAGGCACTAGAAACAGAAAATTCTGTATATAACCTCATGTAGCAGGTCACAATCCACACACAGGTGCACTAAAGCTATTGTGTAAAATTTGCTTCAGCCATGTGTATAGTGTTTATGAATTTCACATTTAGACTTGGATTTCATTTCCAGATACCTCACTATGTTTGGGAAGATACTATAAAATCTGAAAAAAATCCAAAATCAGAAACACTTCTGATCTCCAGCATTTTGAATAAGGAATACTTAGCTGTATTTTCTTTTTGGTTATTCCTATTCAGTTAAAGTTGGTATCTACTAGATTACTCACGTATTTTTGTTAGAACTTCTGTGTTTCTCACATAAGCTATCTTAATGCTTCACACACAGATGCCAAACAGGCATATAATTATTAATACTGTATTTAGAATTTTGTGAAACAAGCCTTGTGTGATTTTCTAGCTTTTGTTTTAGATATTACTTGTGTTGTATTGGGTGAAAGGGTTTGAGATATTTTATTGTGGTTAAACAGTTTTGTGTTTCTAATTTGCGTCATGAGTAGGGATGGTACTTAAGACACAAAGCTGTTTTCTGGGATTTTCAGTGTCAGTGAGAATGGTTAACAGGGTACATGTAGTGCAGACACAAGAAATCAATATTCCAATTATATCAGTTATTTTATGGGATATATTACAGTCTTCTGTCTCTTAGTTTTGTGTGTACTATGTATCACAAGTCTTTGAATTTTGATGATTTATTAATTTATCATGAACATATTATATGTGATTTTCATAGCCTTATGAGGAATAGGTATAATTTCTTTCATTT